AACGGGCGGCTTGTTTGTCTCGGCCCTCACAGTCCCTCGCCGACCCTCATCGACCTTCGTCCTTTTTGGGCCGTTGTCTCTCTGTCTCTTGTCTATTATCCTCCTCCCCAGTCGGGCTCAAAGCTACGGCTACTGCTGCTGCTGTTGCTGTTGCTGCTTCTTTTTTCCTTCTTCATCCCCTTCTTCCTCCTTCTTTCTTTTCCCCTCTTCCTCTTTTTCTCCTTCTCTCCTTTCCTTCCGATTTCCTTGCCCTTTTTTGAACTGCCTTTCTTTCCCATCGCTCTCTTTTAGGATTGCAGTCCTCCTTCCTGATCCCCTTTGGCATCTTCCCTCTGATAACTTGGAGTGATCACGGAGGTCATTTTCCGCCACTCCATGTGGCGTGGCTCCCCCGGGTCTCACTACCAAACTTAACTCCTCTCTACTACGTCAAAAGTCCTGCGACTTCCATACCTACTTACACTATTGCTACGAAACCGTGACCGCCATCATTTCCTCAATCCTCGCTCATCATACCTTTCAGTCCTCCGATCTACCCGCTCGTTCTAAACCAATAGTCACATCCCTTTCACCCCCCTCTCGCTCCACCACCCCTCCCCTCTAAAGCCCCCTCAACACCCCCCCGGGTCTCGACTTCGTACCGCTTTACCTGTATCAAACTATCAGATCCACCGCCTGGGGCATCCTTCTTTAGGTACAGACGCTAGAACGGCCTTGTGCTCCCGGCACTTCCCCCCCCATCGCTCTGAATGTCTCGGTTCGCCTCCGCTACCTGTCAATTCCAATCGTGAAATTTCGACTACTTCCTCTTTATTTCCTCTTTTCCTCTTTCTAAATATTCTTATCCCCCTTCTTCCCCCATCCGCCATTCATTCCGTCACCCCGCTTTCTTTTTTGGAAGTCTCCTATTCTTGCGTTAGGCTTCAGCTTCAGACTTGGCTCCGTGGTCGCGTGTCTAGTTCATTCCGTCATTCCTCATGAGTCCAGTCATCCGCTACAACTTCGCCTCCGATCACTTCACTGTCCACCTTGACTCGTGAGCGGGACGAAGTTTCAGTCTATCAGACGCCATGGCGATATGGCCATTTGGTCGTAAGAGCAAGCGGCACACGATCCAGCTCGATGCTCCTGCGGTGGCGGAGGTTCCGCCGCAGAACCCTCGCCACAGCTTCGATGGCAGCAAGCTAGGCAGCAAGCCCTTTCGCAAATCTTCGAAACGTCAGAAGAACCGACATATTACGCCTACTGAAGATTGCCCGAGTTCTCTGCACGATGTCCTTCCAGCTTCTCAGTCTAACCAGTATCCTCCGCCTATGTCCCACAGCGAGCAACCAGCTTCAATAAGAGGAGCCCGGCAACTGTCCTCCCGGCTCGGTCAGCAGCATTCCGAGAGCTACACCTCTCACTCCAACACAAGCTATGACCAGCCTACCTTGACTCGATCAGGATCGCTTTTAAAGTCGAAAAGAAGTGTTAGCGGACCAGCTGTCTTGAAAAAGAAACTTAGCAAGCGCAAGGCATACGAGATTGCTAGGGAACGTGAGATCAGATTGATGGCTTCCGCACCGATTGACATCCCTCGCCGCCCGTCCCCGCTCCCTAGTGAGCACTTCTCCATCGAAACCCGCAAAGGCCTCAGGGCTCCAAGTCGTCGTTCAGACCGCCACTTATCTGATGTCAGTTTGCCAGTCCGTGACTCAGCTGAGTCGTCGTTATCCGACATCTTTGAGTCCTATACGTTCAAGGTCAACACTTTCGCAGCTTGGACACCCCGCCCAATCATTCGTTACGTGGAAGCTCCCAAGCCCCCCACTGCGAAAAGCCAGAAGTCACCTGAGACAGTGAGCAAGAAAGACAAGGTGCCAACATTTGCTGCATCTGACGAAAATGCTCATTCGAATAAGAAGGTAAATGACCTGGCTGATGCTCTGGACGCCGGTGCTTTACGGGAGTTGTTGGAAAGAGATCGCCGGCGCAGGGAGAGAAAGCAGGCCGAGGATCAGGAGAAACTGCAACGCAAGTTGCAACAGGCCGCTGACCAGCAACAGCAGCACCCGTTGGAACAGGATACTGCCGACCTCTCCACACCAAAGCATCAGGCTGAAGCCAAAGATGCATCTACAACGCAAAGGGGCCGGCCTGGTGCTGGTAGTCGGGCTACACCGGTCTCTTTCGACGAGGGTGTCACTAGATCTGAAGACACCAAGACTTTCCTGGGTGGTACCCCCCCGTCAGGGTCATGGCTGAGAGGAGTTTCTAATGATTCTGAGCGACAAGCCTGCGAAACTCCAGAGAGTGCTATTGTCATCGGCAATATTGACGATAGCTCTATCCGTGGACGCAGGGTTGTCCCGCGGCGTAGCTTCGCTCCGTCCACAGAGATGGGAATGTCTCGCAGCAGTCTGACTCCCTCTCATTCACCGTCGAGGCGCGGGGTTTACAGTCCAACTTCTTCGCACCTGTATGGTCTCGGTCGAGAATCAACATCGGATGTCTCAAGGACAATCGACTCTGACAGGCGTCTGTCAGACAATAGCAGCGGTCGTGTGAACACTCTGACCTCAATCTTTCGACGTGGGAGCTCACGCCTCAAGAGAAGCTACCGAGAACGTTTCCATGAACGGAGCCCCGAGCCGTCGAACCCGTCACATGAATCCTTCTTCAAAGTTCAGACACAGTCCTCGTCCGGTCCGGCGCCGTACGTGCCGCCCAAGGCATTTCTTGGCACGGGCACGATCAAGCGCTCCCAATCGAAATTCACGGAACATTTCGGTGACGAACCTCTATCACCACCTGACTCACGCCTTCAGAGCCCTGATATACCAGAAGTGGCTGACGAGTTTGAGAGGGACGATGATACCTCTGATGTCAACATGGTCACTCAATATCCTATTCCAAGCTCTGCCTCCGACGTCCCGGATTCTCGCAACAACCATCACGCCTCGTGGGGTGGCGAAAGCTGGGATGGTAACCCGGATGACGTTCCGCTATCCCAGTCTCTAGCGTCGATCGATTCCGAGGGGTCATGGATGTCAGGGCAATTCCTTCGTCGTATTTCTCAGAAAAAAACAAGTAACCCCCTTCGGACCAGTCTCAGTCCTTCGAGGAACAAGCTTGAGGAGGAAGGCCACGAGGATTCCCCCAAAGGCGATGAAGTATCAGTCAATGAACCCTTCGTGAGATTTGGAGCTGAGCAGGATGAGCCTCCGCGGGTCGGACATGGCGCAGGTGCTCAGCGAGGTAGTACCATGACCGTGGACCATACACCAGACCCAGCTGAGGAAACCTGGCATGCTCAAGTTGCAAGGCGTCCTGTGCTGGTGAATCCGGCGGTCCGTCCCAAGTCAAACGAAGGCCTACTCAAAACCATTCTATCTGCCGATGAGGAGTTCAGCCCCATTGAAGAACACTCTGTTGAATTTGAGTTCGACACAAACGAAGACTACGATAGTGGGCGCGCCCTCTGAACGTGTGATTGGCATTGCGTACGAGCGACATGCGTGCACCCGACCCCGTTGACCAATGGGTCATATTTTGACGGCCTTTCCCCCTCTCATGAGACAAAGAAGGACCTAATTCGCGTCGCCCAGTCTCTATTTATCTAATTTCATGTAATAATTCCCTTCTCCCCTGCTGACCCTAGTCACTCCTTTGGCTCTTCTTTCCTTTGTCGCTCCCTTGACTTCTCTGCTGCGATCCTTCCTGCCATATTGATGGATTTCGCCTTTAGTTCTGGTGGCACTCGAAGTGGCCACGCCCGTTTTTCTTCCTTCGCTGCCCCGTCAAGCCCGGTCTTCATCCCCGACTTGCTGGCAGGTTTTGTTCTTGCATTTGTTGATACCCCACATCAGCGAGAGTTTGAAGGAGTTTGCCTCGATCGCCGGTCAAGTGCTGTTATTTGATTCTCGTGCGGATTTACGTCTTCAATAGAGGTGAAGCACTCTCCCGTTTCAGTTCAATGCACATATTGGCGTATAGAATAGTTACTGTCCTTGTTTGGTGTCAGTCACCCCACAATGGTATCTCTTTCCATTTCCAACAATGGCTTTGTTTGACGTTTGGATGAGCATTCGACCTGTCCGTAAATACTAAGTTATTTGAGTAAAGATGCATACTTTGGTTGAGCACGACCGAATAAATTTGCGTAAACTGGTATATGGGAGAATTGATGTATAGAGTATAGTTGATGGTCAGCCGAAGGAAGCGGGCTGCTGTTTGTTGAGCACTAGGGTAGTTAGTCAGCACGCTGCGTGCTAAGGCACATTTCAGGCATAATTCAGGCACACGTCCGGTAGCTTCCGTCCAGACCGTTCGCTATTCATAAGCGACGGAGCACGTCATCCGAATAATAATAATGCACCGGCTTTTGAAACTCCAGTCTTCCAGCCCAACCCTTGTGCGTCCCGAACGGCGAACCAATTGCTTCCAACACCCATTCCATACTACTCATACTTTTCATACAATACTATTATATTCTAAATTGATTAGTATTTTGCAAGATGTCGACCGTCAACCTGACAAATGCCTCTAACCTGCTGCGCCTCTCCCGCGGCTTGACATCTTGGTAAGCTACCTACCTACCAGCTACCTACCTGTGAATCATCTCTCAGCTTTCCCCCTTTCAAATCCAAATCCTTCCTTCCACCGCCTCTGAGAGGCTTCGACCACGGTGATTAGTCAGAGGCAGCAGCCAGTCCCCCCCTTCCTCCCATGGTGCAACGTCATTTGCGCCCACCCATAAAAACTGCGGACTGAGCCCCTCCTTTTTGGCCTCAGCCCCTCTTCAACCATTCCGAGCTAATCTCTTCTCTTCTTAACCTACCTCCAGTATTAAACCATCCGCTCGCCTGTCTTCTCTCTCCTCCGCTAGATTTTCTACTACTTCATCCTCCACTTTCCTGTGTTCCAACTTCGTCCAGCGCTTTCCTGCCGCGAATCCTCTCTACCGCCGCTCCTTCTCTCAATCTCACTCCGTCAAATTCAACCCCACACAATCCAACATGTCTGGCCACGGCAAGGTTCACCAGATCACTTCGTGAGTTTCCGACTTCCCCCACCTGATTCAGATTCTACCTTCGGCTGCGATCGCCTGTGCATCAGTGATACTAACATTCGCCTAGCACTGAGGAGTTCAGAGAGAAGGTCACCAACTCCCAGGACGCCATTGTCCTCGACTGCTACGCCACGTGGTGCGGTCCCTGCAAGGCCATCGCCCCCAAGGTCGCCGCTTTCAGCGAACAATACCCCCAGGCCAAGTTCTACTTGATCGACGTCGACGAGCTCTCTGAGGTCGCTGCCGAACTCGGTGTCCGCGCCATGCCCACCTTCATGCTGTTCAAGGGCGGCGAGAAGGTCAACGACGTTGTCGGTGCCAACCCCCCCGCTCTTGAGGCCGGTATCAAGGCTCTCCTCGCATAGATTCGATCGGATTTGTGGTGAAGGATGTTTTTTTTCTAGCTTATGCAATGACAAACGTTTGAACAATCTATACTTTCCCGACTGTAGGCTGCTATAGGTGTAATTGCTGAGGCTGGGTATTATTTTCGTGGGCAGCGATAGGGAGGGACTTCCTGTGATACCCTTGCCTTGACTTGTAAACTACTTCGTGTTCCCCGGATATATCATATCAGTTTGACCATTGTAGTCAGAGCAATCGAGGATCGATTTTCGCCGATACCTGGTTCGATGTTTGATCCTCTTATCGTCCTTGAACATTCGCGCTTCATGACTTGCGGAGAGCAGACAGTGCGACTCGATACAGCCATCGAGTTTCACTGAGTATTCTCGGAAGGAAAGATGTAGACAGTTACAACCTAAAGGAAAACTGAATCCAAGAAGCGAACGGGCTTCCTTGCATCCCTATGCAATGCAGCGCGGAGGTAGAGACGCAAACCCGAATCGGGAATAGTGATTCGCCTCCAGGCGGCTGCAAGTGCCAGACCTGCCTAATCTTTCTCCACCTACATACATCTGCATCATGCATCCAGGCAATCCGATGGGCTTCTGGGCTGTTGCACGTCTGGCTCCCGCCTTTACAACCCTGTAATGTCAAATCGTATTTCTTCCCATTCCAAGGCCTCGGCAGAGTTTGAAGATGACATCGTCGAACAAAGTATAATATTACCTAGGTCGGGCCAAGTTTTAGCACTCATATGCTTCGGCAACAACCCGCTATGGAGGGCATAAGTATCCTATCTGTTGCACTATGCTGCTCTTGTCTGGGGATCTCGCCATTCTCTTACTCGCTCGTTTTGAGATGAGCGTGCGATGGCAGGGTCTACGGCTGCAATAGGACGGCTTATAATCAAGCCAGTCTGACTGTGCACTGAATCTTTCCGTGGCTTTACGATGCAACTTGCAAGTGCTTGGAAATCCCAATGGCCGACTATGCCCAGTGTTGAAAACGGACCGATGGCCTGCGCGAGGCCTAACAGACCAACATCGGGTGGGCTTGGGCCAGCAAACACAACAAGCCTTTCTGTCGATGATGCGGAATTTGAGATATATTGGGAAACAGATGATCAAGACAACCCGCGCATACGGTCGGCCGCACACAGGGCTTTCATTGTCGGGGCGGTATCTGTGTCAAGTGCCTGCGCGTAAGTATCCTATAGACATATCTATTAGTGACTCGATGGCGCCGCTGATTGTCCCCGAGGATATCATATTCCAGGCATCAAAGAATCGTTTGACATCTCATCGGACACCGTTGTGTTGCTCGGCTTAACTACTTGTATGCTCGGTCTGGCATTCGAATGCCTTGTATTCGCCTCGTTGTCGGAGCTGTACGGTCGTCGGCCGGTGTACCTGATCACCAACCTCGCCTTCGCCTGCTCGGTGATACCCGTGGCCTTGGCTCGGAATATGCATACCATTCTTGTCTGCAGAGCACTTGGAGGATCCTTCGGTAGTGCGACTATTGCAGACGGTCCGGGTACAATCAACGACGTGACCAGCAGAAGGTACCTGGCGCTGGCTTTCAGTCTTTGGAGTCTTGGGGCGATGACTGGCCCGGTAGTTGGTACTAAGTGAAGTGCTGGGAACAGCTTCTCGGTTCCTCGCACAGAACTAACAGTGCAGGTTCCATTTTCGGCGGATTTGTCTACCAGTATCTTGGTTGGCGCTGGATCAACTGGATCATACTTTGCTGGGCAGGAGTATCAGCTGTGGCTTCGTTCTTGTTTAAGGAGACATATGAGCCTGCGATACTGCGGGCACGAGCCAGGAAGCAACAGGAACAGACTGGGGACTTGCGATGGTGGTGTCGCTATGATAGCCCCAAAGTGGGCTGGGATCTTGTGCGAAGCCATCTGGTAAGACCTATCATCATGGCCGTGTGTGAGCCCATATGGTACGCCTTCGACCTCCAAGCTCCGCCGACGCGTGAGTGTCTGCCGAACGGTCTCACTGACCCTTTACCATCTGCGGCCCGACCAGCTTATTCTGGAACCTCTACGTCGGTGTCATATATACTACTCTATTCCTGTGCTTCGTCGGCTACCCGATTGCCTTCCAAGAGCACCGCGGCTGGCCACCCGGCATCGCAGGACTAGGCTACTGTGGTATCGGCACAGGCGTCGTCCTCGCCGTCCTCAGCGAGCCCATCTTCATCCGCTGCCTCATGGTCAGTCACCCGCGGGACCCCTGCACAGGCCACGTCACGCCCGAGGCCTCCATAATTGCCGTCTGTCTCGGGGCCATTCTCAGCCCTGTGGGTGATTTCTGGTTCTTGGGGACAGCGGTAGCAACAACGACCACAACTCAATCCACCAGTGCGCCCGCGTGCACACACTGGATCTATCCGATCCTGGCCGGCGTCCCCTTCGGCATGGGCAATACCCTCATCTTCATCTACTCGGCCCATTACCTGGCGGGGAGCTACCCCATTTACGCCGCCTCGGCGGTGGCAGGCAACGCGATGGTTCGGTACGTCTTTGCGGGGTGCGCTTCCGTTGGCGGGCCACCGGCTGGTTTCGAGTTTGGGGATCGCGTGGACGGGCACGCTGCTGGGACTGGTGGAGGTGGCGCTGATTCCGATCCCGTTTGTGTTCTATTGGTATGGGTGGTGGGTTCGGCGGCGCAGTGGGTTGTCACGGGAGTTGGCGGGAGTGTAGGGAGTAAAAAGGAAGCTATATAGAGGTCGCTGGACACGCCATAGAAATGTGGACGGCGTCGCATGGCTATCAAGCTGCATTTGAGTCCATGGAATCAGCTAGGCCGATAGCTGGGACGAACATTCTAGAAGGTGGATCGGCTTTGCATGCACATACCCCTGCATGCATGATGCATACATATACATGTACCTAATAATACTCAGGAGACAAATCAGGTCGCATGATGAGTTGACAAGGTGGTCGGGCCATATCGGGCCATATTTGCTTCGTTTCGTTTACTGGTCTCCAGTATCTAGCTCTTCTGCATGTTATTCAGATCTCACCAGGACACTTACTCCCTCGTAATCCTACCATCGCATTGCTTGTATTTTGAGTCCGCCCCGAAGTAGAATTAGTTTTGCAGCATTGAGAATCGAATAGCCTCGGTCCTACAGTCATAAGTTTTACAGTCTCCAAATCCGTGCATAGACTGAATCGTATATATGAGTAACAATTTACGGAGTACTATGTACGTACCCAATCAATTTGAACTCCCCACTCTCGGGCCCCATCGTGGAATTCCAACCCGTCGATGCCAGCCGCGCCGTGGAGGAGATGTACGTCACGTGTGAGTATAGGTGTGTAGGTGTTCGGCTACCGGCGTGGATGACGGTGGAAGTACCGGTAAACTGACCCACTGCACCGGGGATGATATCCGGTTCTTCCGATGGGGGGAGGGGGGGAGAGTTGAGCTTTGAGTGGTTGCAGGGGTGGATCAAAATAGGTGATGGTGTGGATGATAGGGAGGGGAAAGACGGGGATTCCACTGCTGTTGTTCTCTTATACGGTTCAACTGGGTAGCTTGGTAGGGTAGGGGTAGGGTAAGGTAGGGGTTTGTGACTGTGGTTTCAGGGGTGAAGGGGTTGAGGGGTGTTGTTTGCGCAGTTGTGCTCGAAGTATCTGTGTGTGTGTATGTAGGTAGGCGAAGTGTGTATATATAGACCGAGAAAATCGCTGTGGCTCTTTCTTCGTGATTCTATAAGTTCAGGGAGGGATCGGTGGTCGGAAGTCGGAGACGTATACGGACGGCGATCGTTCTTCGCTTGGTTTGGGAAATGAGGGTACAGTTTCAGATACTCAACTCGAGTCACTCGCTCGGGGCGTTCGAGCCGAGCTTGTTGTGTCAGTGTGATGAGGTTGACCGACCTTCTCGCCCTTGTTGGGTGATCTGTAAAGAAAAGCGGGGAAATCAGCTGGCTGGTTGTCAATTTCACTTGAGCAGAGCAGCGAGGAGCCGCAGAAAATTCTTCTCTTTCCAGGAGGTTTCGATTCCGGGAATCGGAAATCCAAAACCGATTTACGAGTACATACATGCGGTATGAAGCTCTTGCGGCGCGGCGCGGGGCTGGTGTATGCCGTGTGTTTGGCATGATCTGATCTGCCAAACTACTCAGTGGTGGTGGGTCGCGGCTCGCCAGGAAGATATATGCGAAATTGAATCAATTGAACGATATGGAATGGAGATGGATGGGGCCCGGTGGGTGCGCGGTGGTTTCAGGTTCAGCTCGCATTTCCGTGTTTGTGGGGAGTGGTCCAAAGCTGGGTTGTGCTCTGTTGTTCGTTTTTATGCTGGCTGAGATGGTGGTGGTGGTGGTCGTTTGTTTGTTTGTTTAGTGACTTACTGGGGAAGGTACTTTGTGTACTGGACCAGCTGGGTTGCAACTCGGTGAAGAAAGACTACATTGTGACTTCAACTTTGAGGCACTGCTTGTTGATCCGCAGCGAAGCCACCCCGCTGGAAACAGCTGGTAGTTCTTCGTGTCTATTTGTCATGGTTGAAGAATGCTCGAATTTGAGATGTTCTCATACTTGGCAAGTGAATCGGGTTTGGATAGTCCATGGCAGATCATGCGCTGCAAAGCTGGGGACGACCCTTCCACAGCGCAGGACTGATCTAGATCAAGGGACGAGTCATGATTCCCCAGACCACACGCCTCGAAGACAGCTTCCTTTCTGTGCAGATAGCAGTCCTGAGCCTCGAGTGCCGAACATGTCTACGAGTCAAGCAAGGCATTGGCGAGTGTACTCCCCGCATGAGCGAGTGTCTCCCCGAGTCGAGGTCGAATAGTTCATGTCGAACTCAATTGTGATCAGTGATCCTGCACAGCTTCCAGCAGCCACACCCACGAGTCGACGATAACTCTATCCCTATAAACTCAGGGTTTATACTTCCACCAAGCCAAATTCTATCTCTTGTTCACACCTTCAATATTGAGGCCCCGTCTCACCCCAAACTTCATCCTCCAGGTAACTTTGGGTGGCGTTCAGTACCTGACTTGAAGACGCTAAGCCTCTTCCAATCTGCCCGAGGCACGACTACTTTTATCAATCTCCGGGCGTCATACTCATCAAGATCTGTCTTGCGCCGGCCATGGGATCCTGCCCAGGATTGGAGGAACCAACATTCCACATTGTGACACACGTTTTGCCGAATTTCCTACGATTCCGCCACCTGAGATTTGGAAGGGGGATCGTAGTTCCGGTCACATGGTGGTCGTTGCGTCTAGAACCAAGCCACTAGGGGCGAACAGAGTTTGGGTTCGTCTCAAAGCCTCTTTTATTCGAATGGGAAGCCAGGGAAAAGCAAGGCAGCGGATTGGATGCTAGGCCCAAAAGTGCCTGGGAACCACCGGAGGACACCCCAAGAAGGAATCCAGAGTCTCAGAGCAGCCAGACCAAACCGCTGGCTGGGCGCGAACACAACCATGAAGTTAAGGTACCTTGGTTTTTGTTATCGCCCACGGTGAGATTCTCCGATCTAGAGCCGTCCCAGTGCGTGGCACTAGAAGAAAACCCTTGTGTGGGCACTGAGTGGGTGTTTCGATTGATAAGCTGGGCTTCGGTTGCAACGTGTGTAAACGAGCACGTTTCAGAGTCACATAGCGTCGAAACGAGTCAGTGCAGGGACTCGAACGTGACAGCAAAGCTTGACTCTTATCGCTTATGCTGGCTGATGGTTTCCTTCAACAAGCGGATTAAATAAATGAGGAAGGAGTCGCAGAGCTCGTGCTGGCAGTGCATCGCTTAAACTCCCAAGACTCAATCTCAGTCGGCGGCGGGTTGGCCCGCTAGCCAGATCGGGACTAACATCAGGATCCGTCCTCGATCGAAGGCACTGGCCGCTAAGCCCACTTGGGATCTAGTTCAGCTTGCAATCTTTTGCAATCTTTTCCTCTGCTCCACTTCACAAATTTTGCTTCACTGAGTTTAGTGGAAGAATGAAATTTGTCTCACCTGTGCCGGCACTGCCAGCACGCGCATGATCTTCCACGCTCCGGAGTGGATTTACCTCGGTGTCAGTTCCTGCGGATGCGCGCACGACGCACTAATCATCACCAGGGTCCTGGACCTTCTCCCATGTGGTCATTTCCCCGAGGTCTGGTCTCGCTTGTCATCTCACCCAGATCCTCCTGCCTCTTACACAGTAGACCAACTAGTCCTCGCCGGCGTCATGGGTAGCAATGGAGATATGTCCCAATCCGTTTGGTCACTTTTTCCGGCTGTGATCCTTGGAACGTGCTGTCTCTTACCTTTCGGAGACGGATTTCACTAGCTTCCAGCTATCAGGCCTGGCTGACGACAACCAAGGCCTTGGTTTATTGCTGACATCCTTCGGTCTAAACCCCCTCTTCCTGCAAATTAGCAAAGGGAGCTACAAACTAGCTTGTGAATCAAATAACCAAGATGCTGGCTGCACTTGACTCGCATCCACCTTGCTTTCCTGTCTGCTCTCGGTAATGTGGGTAATAGAGCAAAATGTCCCTCGGAGAAGAGCGAGAGCGCAATCTATTCAGTGAGTGACCAGAGTTCTCTAGCACATATCTACGAGACTTGGCCAGATCGTTCATCCTGATACGCCAGCGGCTAGCACATGGACCCAGTTGTGTTAATTAACGTTCAGCTGCTGTGGCTGACTGGGTTGGCAAATGTGTAATCACAGGCCGTGGTTGTTTGACAGGGCTGGATCGTGACTCGCCAACATCAGTGCCCACTCTCCATCGTTCCTGATCATAGGATTTCCGGAACCGATTTACTGCTGCAATCGGACCCAGTCTTGGCTTCGAAAACCATTCCCGATGGCCTCTAATCGTGCTCTTCTCCCCAGCAGACATTGCTCTTGCTTGTCTTGAATGGCCACCAGAAAAGCGGGACCTGGCCCTCGTCCTGCTCCGCAGACGCAAATTGAACGTCCATAATCAAGACTCGTAGAAGAGGGGAAATGAATCCATGGCGTTCCGCCGTCGCTAGCCCTCGTCCACTCGCTATGTCCTCGTCTAGCCCTGGCTGAATTCTAATATATTATTTGCCCTTAATTGCAGCATGCCCCGAGATCCTGGTTCCTGGAGGAGTTCGGCCAGACCCGCGAATTGAGTGCGCGGTACAGATATCAGCTCGATCCTTCTGATTATATCACCAAAAGATCTCCCCTGCGAGCAGTCTGGCTTTCCCCATCCCGGGCCTATTCCTCACTCTTTCTTCAATCCTCTCCCCAATGCGCCACCGGATCGCCGCTCGCTTGTAAGATTAGGCCTTGACGTCCTCGATGCAGTAACCCAACCTCTATCATTCTCTCGTGGTTCTGGACCTTCCTGGCGACTTTTGCTCCCGCCAGAGCCCTTTGCTGAGAGGATGTGGCTCATAGACAGGACTCTCCAGGAGTCAATCCCTGTGTCCTACCTTGGGGGCTATATCTTTCTTTCATATGTCGTGAGCATGATGGGATGTACGACTACCCTGGAGCTGCTTCACCGGCGGACTTCCAGGGCTGGTCTGTACAATTGGTAAGTGAATAGTCCGACAACACACTCCTCCATGGTCGTTGAACCGCTCTGACCACTCCGTTAGGTATCTCCTTCTGACCTCCTCACTCGTTATGGGAGGCATTGGCATCTGGTGTATGCACTTCATTGGGAATCGTGCTATTGTTCTCGGAGACGGGAGCGCCCGCATTCAGATCGTCTACAGCATGACCTTTACCGGCGTCTCTTTCGTTCTTCCAGTTGTCGTTTTGCTCGTTGCGTTCTACTCGATCGGAGCCAGCGAGGAAACTAGTTTTGTTCGCATAACATTGGGTGGTGTTCTTGCTGGTGGCGCGGTCTGCGCCATGCATTATATCGGTCAACTGGGCATCAGCAACTACAGATGCTCGTATCAGATCGCGAATGTTGTTGGGGCAGCCATCATCGCCGTATTTGCTAGCACGACGGCATTGACAGTCTTTTTCCGGTGGAGGGCGACTTGGACGGACAGCTGGTGGAGACGAGGCATCTGTGGCTGTTTCCTTGCCTGTGCTGTCTCGGGCATGCATTGGACTGCGGCCGTCGGCACCTCTTACTGGGAACACGATGACAGTATTCAGCACAGCAGCCAGCTTTCCAGGAGCCAAACTGTTATCATCTGTGCTGTCCTGGTAGGTTGTCTTGGCCTATGGTTTGGGGGGTTTCATGCTAATGGACTGTAGGCGTGCGCTGCCTGCGGAATTTTGACAGTATGTGCCGTAGCGGCCGGTGGCAGTCGGAGACGGCTGCATACACAAGCGCGGCAGTTAGTGCTCAGCGGCGTCTTCTTCGACTCTGAAGGACGCCTTATGGTGACGCCCCATGCGATGCTTCCTAGTCGCAAGATTGTCGACCGTTACCTCGGCAAGGTATGTTATGCTACTCAGCAAACTGTGATTGGCTGATTCTGACCCCTTCTGGGAAATTATCTAGACCTTTAACGATGATGATCTGACACGATCTCATTCGGCTTTCCTTTGGGCGTTCCGAGCCAGCAGGAACTGGAACATTGTCAAGGACGTCGTTCCTTTCATGAGAGCACGGCTGGAGACGGATGATTACTTCACCAAGGGAGATGGGCTAGACGAGGAGAACGAGCTCCAGACCGACTTCGACGAGCTCTTCAAGCGCCATTTCTGCGTGGCTGCGCAGGACCTTGCTGACGAGTTGCGACAGCCACTCCCGAACCTTGGCATGCTGTACGACGATGTTCTGACAACAAGCGCCCCAGGCTCCTGCTTCGGGCGAGCAATGGGCTACGCTAGGCTTGGTGGAAGCAAAGGTCAGATGATGTTCACAGTCCGTCACTTGAATAAGCAAGAATCGAACCGCATGGCCGCTGCCGGTTATCGTTTCACCACGATCGAGAACGTCACCTCTGCGCTGTCCAGCCGTATGCATATTCCCGCCCCGACACTCGGCGTCCACCTCCGAGACATGCGCGACTATGCAACCTCTGGCCACAGTTATCTGCCCGGTGTCCATTTGGTCTCTTTCGTCATGCGGCCCACCATCTACGACCACTTTGAGGTGCTAACCGCCAAGGGAACCGGCAATCCCCTACCTTCGACGACGTTGCCGATCAGAAAACTCCAATTTCAACATCTCGATCTGCTCTCGCACATGGAAGGATGGACTATATCGACCTGCATGACCTGGCTCCGATCGGCCGCGGCCCAAGCTAACACAGATGCGGATGAGTTCCGGGAACAGCTGATCCACGCGATGACGACCCTCTCGACCACGCTCCCTCCGGATATCAACATGGTTGCCCGTTTCTCGGCTCGACCCTTGATTGCGCCCTGCCGTACGCCAAACGACACGGATGCCACCCACTGCACCCTCTTATCGTTCTGTGTCGTAGGCAACCTGGAGACACAAGTCTCGAATCCGAACTACACCTTCGCGCCGCTGCGCCTTTTCCGCGTCCAGCAGCAGCTGAACGAGGCGCCTGGCGGCGGCGAAGGGTTTGCGAAGGAACTCGGCAAGGAGCTGTACTACTCTGACACGCGCACCAGCTCGGCGACTGACTCCGAGCTCACCTCGCCCTCGGTCAAATCCTCTTCCGTCTTCAAGTTCTGGCCGCGCAAGCAGCCGATCACTGTGGTGCAGGAGCAGCCGTCGCCGGGCAGCTGGGCGGATATCTCCCCGCTGGGCGATATCATGGTCCGGAAGGAGGTGAAGGTCGACGTGGCGAAGCTGTCGGAGCAGATGCTGAATTCGCCGCGCCATGCGTCCCGCACGACGGTGGTTGCCGGCGACATGGCGTACAGCACGTATGTGGACGAGCTGTACAACCTGTGTTACTCGTCGGGGATCCGTCTGCGACCGGATACCGATCTTCAGGTGGTGATGACCGGTTGAGTTGTGGATGATTTTTTCTTGTTTACTATCGATATTCGAAGGGTCAGAAGACACATGTTGACGACCACACCAACGTGTTTTGCCTGTGAAGGGCGAGCACGATCAGCCTGAGCGCAGCAGGAAAGACTCCTCCTGCCTTCCAGTTTGCGATCTGCTCTGGAAGAAATGATCTGGGCGACCGACACTCGAGACACGCTCCCTGATTCGCCAGACATATTGGCATTTTGTCGAAAGCGCACGCCATGATTTAACCCGAGCTCATAGACTTCGGCGTCTGCCACTTTTATGAAACACAAGTGTCTCTCACTACATACATAACATCGATAATGGTGCTCGATGGTGCTGCCATTATACCCGATTCACTCCTTCTCCCTCCATTACTGGAGACACATTCCTTGACTCCATGTCAAACATGGTTTGCGGGCTAGCCCGCCAATTGCGCTGCAATGCGCCCCCAGAAAAGGGATTGGCTACGGAACTAGAATCTCACATAGATATTATTTAGATATCAACTATTGTATAGTACTGTATTGTACATCGTGACCAATAGGAAAAATGATCTAATCAAGACTACACTTGTGAAATACCTCGTCTCCTCACTCTCTCACTATACTTCAAGTAAACTCTCACAGGCCAGTCATACGCCTCGAATCATGATGAGACAGACAATGCGCAAAATACTCGATTCCTTTCCTACTCCAGGAAGGCATCCATATACCATCGACACCGTCCTTTCTGTGGAAGTCCAAAGCCGACCCGAAACGGAGATACTGAAGGTTGAAACTCGACCTACCCTTGCCCCCCCTGGCACCTTCGACCACAAAGCTCTGGACTGCAATGTCACCCGGGGTCTATGCTACATATTTAAGAGGATAACACGAGTACTGTCCCAAAAAGAAAGAACGAAAGAAAACCCAATCCTGCTATTAACTGACCTCGAACCTGGGGATATGTACTCTGCGGAGTTATCCCTCTCTCTCGATGGTGAAAGCAGCGCGAGAGTGGAATATGGTGCTAGTGCTGCACCCGGTGTCTTTCGGAATGGTACTCATGTTAGCAGTACGCAGTAAGTGACTGTTACTTTACTGGGGCTTAGGAACGGAGCTGTTGTGTCTGCCTTATGAGAGGATGATCCAGTCGTAGTGTACTGGACCTTGCCAAGGAAAGCCATCGTGCCTCGCCTCCACATGAATCGATCCAAATTCTCGACTCGAAAGCAAACCTAGAAGTTCAACCGCTGTCCCGGGGTGGAGATGCTTGTTGTCTTGTCTATACCTTACTTACGGAATTAGAATTAGTGAACCAGCGGCCATTGTTGCTATACCTCAAAATGACTGGTCCCCGGATGCCAAACAGATATACGAAAATACTATCCAATAGTAATATCCTTCCCATCTCACCACTAATCCAAGTAAGACCTTGACTTTGTTTCTTCTCCCGATGCATCCCCAGGGTGACATCTAAACAGTATTGATACTATCTTCACCAAACACAAACTTCGAAGAGAACAAGAAAAGCAAATACTAAGCAATATAACTAGATTGTACAGCTCCCGCTGAACTACTACCCCAAGCTGACTACAGGGCTTTATACTTCAAACATTCTACACACCCCCTCTCCCTCCTTTATAACCGCTATACCGTATATCAACAGACAAGTAACGTCACAGTACTTTTAAAGAGGTAAGTAGGCAGGTAGGTAGGTATTGAGATTGAACATTAAGGTGGAGTGAGTACTCCTCCAACAACCAGATAACCCAACGTCGATTGCATCATCCCTTTCAACCCCCAAAAATGAGGCGGGAAACGTCAGTCGGGTACAGATGTTCTTCATCAGAAATGGAACCACCCCTGCTTCAGCAATGCACCACCTCGCTGAAATGAACCCCACCGTATAAAAAGCTACCTATTCCTCCGGTGAAGGAGTATAGAATTTGGGATGTACATCGCCAGAGAGCCTCCCGAGCCCCCAACCCCAATTGGAGTACAGCATATGTATATACAGTATATACAGTATCATCACCTCAGAAAAGAAACCCAAGAACCCAGAGCCCTTTCCCCCCCTCCCCGTGTCGGAACTCTCTTCCACTATTCGCTGTATTCACGATTTGCTATTTACGCGGTATACTATAGAGGAAACTGACCGACGGAAAGGTATACCTCATCTCATTTCATCACATATACTCTTCTTTTATACTTCAAGGCCAAGACCAGAGACAGTCGGTAAGGTGGGTGCTTCTGTATTCTACACATTTTGAGAATGATAATAGGCTTAGTTGGGTAGGTAGGTAGGTAGGGTATACCAGGCCAGTAGTCAGGCTAGTGTTAATGTACTGGATGTAAATCATTTGCTTTGTTTGTGTCTTTTCGGGAAAGATAGATAGATCCCTCGGGGATCCGAGATCATGGGTTGAGACGCGAGAGGTACAGTACAGTACTGCACTCTGAATACATCCCAACGGTGAAATTGACAGAAAGGGAAGAATAGAATTTCAGATTAAGATCCCACGATCTATACAGTACCTACCTTCTAGAGGGGAGGGGGGGGTAGCATGGCTCAGATGGGATTGCTGTGGGAATTACGAGCGAGTACGGAGAACGTAATCACCAGCTGGTGGGTACAGAACATAAGAAGCAAGGATAGATGATGTCTACGCCGAGATCCGGCTAAAGATACATCACCCCATGCTGACACCACAGCATAAACATGGATCCTGGGTGGGCGAATGCGTACAGTAACTACTTCAGAGATAAGGACCGCCCCCGCTCAGACACTAAACACTCTCGACACCAGGAACAGCCAGGAAGCCATGGGGCATGGTAAGGTACTGATTGGGACTGAAGCTGCAAGCCTTCCTTCTCTTACGACACGAAGTTACTCCCAAGTATTAGTCAACTGAATTACAGAAAAACCCCACTAGAGCAGGCCATATAGAATCGAAGAGAAACAATCGGAAGAAGAAAACCTCTCTTCCAATGACTCGAGTTGAGTGATAGAATTCCTAACAACTACATTGGTTCAAGCAAAAATATCGCTATTTCCCGCCGACGCTTCAAACAAATTAAATTCCTCCCTCACGAAACCCCATAGATAGGAAAAAAAACTTTTTCTTTTCCAGTTCCAGACACAAGAGGGTAAAAAACAAAACAAAACAAAAACAGTCCAGTACGGAACCGTAAACGAACAAGCTTGTGGTATCTTCGTCAGAAAAGCCCGGCGCCAAGTTGAGTTGTATGATTGGTAATAAAAATAAGGACAAGGCGAAACAAAAGATAAGATGGATTGATTGGAGGACAAACCCCGAAACCAAGGCAAGACTAATTGATTGATAAGATTATCATCTCATTGCCCCAGTTCCGCTAGTTCTCGCTCCTTGGCGCGTAACATCTCCCGCATTTCTTCCGCTTCTCGCTGCAGCTTCAGCCGCCTCTCCTCACGGAGACCGTCCAGCTCGGAGACGCTAGGCAAGGGTTGCGAAGGGGGAGGAGGGGCCAAAGTAGGAGGGGGAGGAGGTTGGTGGTGATGGAGGTGCTGCTGGCGGCCCATCGCAGCAAGGGATGGATCCAACCGGGTTTCATCGTGATGGTGGTTGTTGGGGTTGAGAAGAGATGAGATAGAGCTTAGGCGTGCGGGAGGGGAGGGGTTCATCGAGGACATGATCGGAGGCAGCTGATTAGATCCATTCTCCAAAGTGGTCGGTATGGAGATCGCTTCTGCAGATGAGGCGGTCTCGGCGAGCGTGCGTTTCTTGGGATTGCTGGGATTAGGCGACAGGGATCGTCGGCCGAATTGCGACACCGGAGAGTGGCTGGGGGCGCTGATGCGTTCTGGCTCCAGCAATCTAGGGGGTGGGGGATGATGCGGCAAGGAGACCGCGCCGGAGCCGAAGCCCGTGAAATCGACTGGTGGCGGCGCAAAGCCATACTGCCTTGGGCCGACCGGTGAAATTCTCTCCGCAGGCATGCTGGCAAAGTGCTCCATGGGCTCAGAACTGTAATATCGGTGATGATCGTCGTGAGCGTAAGCCAAAGCGGCAGGGGACGCCTCAGGCGATGCGGAAGAGCCGTTCGATGAGTGTGTTGCGGCGGTCGGCGAGTGTTCCCGCAAGGCGGGCACGACGCGTTTTCGTCGTTTGATGATCGTCTTCTTCATTGTGGTGGGGCGATAACAACCGTGCAACTTGAAATACAGTCCTGCAAACAAAATCGGTTAACACCTGAATTACACCATCTTTCGAGATAAGGAAAGCATCATACCACATGCGTTACAGATTGGATGGCCATTCTCATCGCGCCGCCAGAGCGGGGTTACCGTGGTTCCACAGTTCTGACACGACACCAGCATGTTTCCCTCACCCGTCGTCGTGGTCTTTCCGGGAGTGTCCAAAGGCTCCTGTAGCGGGGGAGGCTTCTCGCTCTCGACAGTTGGCGCCCGATTCCAGGCATGTACTGGGACGGTGCCTCTCGCCGTTGATTTGTAAACCCGATTATTATAGGCTGGGCACCCATCACACCCCTCCGCACCGCCTGTGCCATTACAGCTACCCCCACCAGGGCATGACCCCTTAGACCCGTGACAGCCGCCCTCGGTATGTGGTGCATGCGTCTCATGTTGGGGAGGAATTGGCAATTGGTGTTGTTGCGGCTGAGGAGGTTGACCAGGCTCAGCGCTCGTTTGTACGCGGTTCCGCTTGGTTGGTCGAGCAACATTCCGAGCCTTCAGGTAGAGCCCACACGCATTGCAAATCATCGCCCCAGTCGGTGATCGTCGCCATAATGGGGTACTCTTGGTTCCGCAATTACTGGGGAAAGGCCACCAGCATTAGTCAAACTCATAAATAATCGCGCAACAAGGACTTGAAGCTGCACCTACCTGCAGGAATGGCCAAATACAGCGGCATCCTTCTGTGACTTCGGCGACTGTTTCTCCAACGGCAGATGACTGGGAGGCACCTCTGAGAGGGACTTGACGGAAGGGAGGGAGCGTTCTGGGTCGTAGGA